TAAATAAAGATAAATTAATACATAAACTAGTAATATTTGAAAAAAAATTTAAAGTCAATTCCTACTTAGGTCCACAAAGAAATTTTTTATTTTAGTTACTTTTTATGAAATAATTAAAAAAATTTCTCCCATACAAAGCTAAATGTAATTAATTAAATTTAATAAAGGAATGAATATTTGAAAAACTGTATTAGGATCAAATGTCATCCACTACAAGTTTAAAAAAATGTATTTGAGCTTGCATGGATGAATAAAAAGTATTTTATTAACGACTAGGAGGCTTCGCCCCCTGCTCGCTGGCGCTCGCCAACCCCCGGAACTGCTTTCGCAGTTCATTTCAGATTGCTTCGCAATACGATGCTCGCTCATTGGATACGTTATTAACGTCTAGCTTTTGAAGTTCCGAAAACTTTTAACTGTAGAAAATTCTAAACCTGTGCATTTCAATATTAATTTGAAATTGAAAACAGTTCGCATATTTTTCTTAATCACACTATTCTAAATTTCAGTTGTTGAGAAAAGTAACTTTTGTAAGTTTTGTTTTAAAGTCTTTCCTACCAGAGGGCTGAAGCCATGTGTTGTAAATTGTTATTGTTGTTGTTGTTAATTTACGTCGCACTAGAGCTGCACAATGGGCTCCATGTGTTGTAAAACAATATGAAATAGTACTGAAAGCCGGATGTAAAGCATCGGCTTCGATGAAGAAAATTTTGATAATTCGGTGAGAATTGGGTATACTATAGCCTACGTCACAGGTTGTGTTATTCCTACTTAATTTAACCCATGAACGGCATTTTCTGCGAGCCTAACTTCAAGCCACAAATAAACAAACGAAGTGTTTGATCGTTTAAATAGCTGCTCGCCAGATTTTATTGCATTATAAAGAAAAGTAATTGATATTCGATTTTTGATTAATAATTGATTTATGTGGATAGTGGCATAGAATTTAGCATTGCGTCATGGTAAATGTTATTCCTACTAAGTGGAAGTAGTTGTGGTTTTTTTATATTATACCCAATTCACCCGATTAGCCACATCATGCTCACTACGCGCTCTTGCGTGCTGAAGCCCATCAATTAAAACGTATTAACGTTTTATATAATATAGATTAGCCATATGATGCTCACTACGTGCTCTTGCGCGCCGAATCCTATCAATTAAAAATGAAAACTGTTGCCAACGAGAGAAAAGAAATATCATCGGTTTTATTTAAGGCTCCTACACTATCATTCAATTTTAATTCAAGTCTAATTCAGGGGCTCTAGTTTTATTGATACATACGTATTAGCGTTTTATATAATACAGATTGAGCATTTGAAGAAGATATATCTCTATATGACATAAAATCATAATGGTTTAACACCGTTTTTCATTGTTGTCGGCGCATTTTTATTGGCCGGAAAATCACGTGGTAGGATCCAGTTTTCCCTCATTCATTTCCATATTGTTTTGGTTGTCATCAGCATAAAATTAATAATAGTCGTAAAGGTGTAAGGGAAGGTTTTCGGTCTTCCTACTATGTGCAATTTTGGATAAATAAAAGCGAAGTAAATTGGAGACATCACAACATTTAATATACACAATTATTTATAAATTAATATAAAATATATGAATCCATTAATACTTTTACATCCCAATGTCTGGAAAGTCATGATAGTAATTATTATTGAGTTGTCTTAGCAATGCGTTGTTTTTTATTTTTTATAAAACTAAATTTAAATGCTTGTTATGATATTGCTTTTGCGCACCACAAAGGTATTGTTTTTCTTTAAATATTTTTGTATCCCTAATTTAAACTTATTTTCCAGTTCTTCCATTAGCGAGAATATTAAATTATGGTTGCGAACTCATGAAATTTGTTTGAACATTACAATGTTATAAGAATATAAATGTTATTTTAAAAAATGATTACTTCGAAAAATCACTTCCGTTCACCAAGAGATCTAATATTTGGGTAGAGTAATATCTGAGAGTAATATTTGGACGTGGGAAGTAAAGGAACAAGAAAAAAATAGTGCGTGGAGTCCCTCCGCGCGGAAGAAGTCGCAACCTGCGACGTTAATTGTTGCAGAATCAGCAGTCGTAGAAGGATCACTAGTTCTATTCAACGACTCTTTTCCCTGCTCCGCTCGCTTCCGTGCTCTGTAATCACGGTAATATTGTGCATTTTTACCTTGTGGACCTCTTGAACCAGTGGAAGTGCTTGTGGTTGCCTCATCGTCTCGCCATGGAAAATGTATTTGCATTAATAATGTCTGTGAATGCGTCATAATGTAATTTCAGAAGAGAAAACCTAACAATCAATTGATATTCCAAAGAGACATACCTTGACATAACCTTAAATCCGTCGCATTGTCCGTGGGATTGTTTTCACTCATTTTTTACAATTGTTATTCCCTAAATTTGAAAATAAAAAATACTACCCTATTAAATTATACGTGTATCAAAACAAACTAAAAAAATATTTATAGAAAAACAATACTTTTATTATTTTTATGGTAGTGAGAACCAAAACAATATGGAAATGAATGAGTGAAAACTGGATCCTACCGCGTGATTTCCCGGCCAATCAAAATGTAGCGTTAAGCGTTTAACGCAACCTTGTTGGAAGTCGCATAAGAAGTATAACTTCAATAAGCAAACAAAATTCCTTTTAGTACATACATGTTAAGTGATTAATTTTAACTTTAATAGAAAAACTGTTTGTCTGCCAAGAAAAAAACAATTATTGTGAAGCAATAATCGGGGTTGGTGAGCTGCAGCGAACAGGGGGCTTATCTCCCTAGTAAATATATATCGGGAGAGTGTGAACTAACAGTAGGAAATGAATAAAAAGGAAAGGGTATCAGACAACTGTCATAGTATAAATTTGGTGACGTGGACCACACGTGATACCACGTCATGTTCCTTATTGAATTTATCTGTCACAGCGAATATAAAATAATTAAGTATTTAAGAGTGCGCAATAAACTATTTTTGTTCAAAGGCTATAAGTTAGAAATTATCACTGATGCTATTTTTAATATATGTGAGAAACTGAATCACTTATAGTAAAATTTAAAGCAATGCCTCACGCTTAATTAATCAGAAAATTCCATTTCGTTTTTCGCTCATCTCTATTTAATGACTGAGTTAATATTTGAAAAAACCTGTATTAACTGTATCAAGTGTCATCCACTACAAGTTTGAAAAAAATCTATTTGAACTTGAGTGGATGAATAAAAAGTATTTTAATAAAGATTGAAAATTTGGACAAGACATAAGGAGAGTGCGAACTAATTGTAAAGATTTAATAAAAATTAACTAGAACAGTAAAAATAAAATTAGTATCCCTTTACAATTGTATTCTAAAACATCATTGGTTAGAAATGAAAAGCCTTATTTATCATATTTATAGAAGACTCCATAGCGTTTTTTCAGTTGTCAATAAAAATTCTGACAATTTGTTTAATTAAGCGCAATTATATTTTAAAGATTTGCAAATTTAATTTGATAGCAAAAATAGGCGCACCACAAATGTAACTATTGGTTAAAGAAGAACTATAACACAACCGGTTGATTGCACAATATTTTCAAAATTAAAACTGAAGGAAATTAATTCTCTTTAAATAATCATGCTTTACTAACATCAAAACAATAAATTCATTGCGATATAATAAATACATTAAAAACCACAGTGTAAGTAATTACGATTTGTTATAACAATTACAGATAAAGTAGCTACAATCAAATTATATATTTTGGTTAGTTTGTTTACCGTTCTATAAAAAAACCGATGCTCTTAAGATAATGAAGTTTTACAAACAGTATATTAGGCGGTTTATAAAACTCTGAGTTGCCTAAATCTAATGTACACTAGTTATCCATTTCGGCTGTAAGCATTGATCTCCTTTGTTTTCTGAATAATAATAAAAACTGCTTTTGAGGAGGTAATTTAATGGACACTTTAATAATTTTTTAGAATTTTGCGGTTCAAAGGAGAACTTTGATATTATTATCAAGTTCGAAGATAGGTGTCAAAATTTATAAAAATATATGCATATGCTAAGATATATTTAAAAAAGCAACTTTAAAAGAAATTTCATTTCGTCCTTTATATAGATGTCGCTAGATTCGATGACGATGCAAATAAGATAAGAGGTTGGTTATATAATTCTCTGTAGCCCAAATCTAATGTATACCATTGTTTATTCAGACTATAAGCATTGCTCTTTGTTTTCTGAATATTAATAAAAACTGTTTTTGAGGAGGCCATCTAATGGACACTTTGATAATTTTTTAGAATTTAGCGGTTCAAAGGAGAACTTTGATATTAATATCAGGTCAAAGGATAGGTGTCAAAATTTATAAAAATATATACGTATGCTAAGAAATATTTAAAAAAGCAATTTTAAAAGAAATTTCATTTCGTCCTTTATATAGATGTCGCTAGATTCGATGACGATGCAAATAAGATAAGAGGCTGGTTATAAAATTCCGTGTATCCTAAATCTAATGTATACTATTGTTTATTCCGACTATAAGCATTGATCTCCTTTGTTTTCTGAATATTAATAAAAACTTTTTTTGAGGAAGCCATTTAATGGACATATTAATAATTTTTTTAAATTTTGCGGTTCAAAGGAGAACTTTGATATTAATATCAAGTTAAAGGACATATGTCAAAATTTATTAAAATATATACATATGCTAAGAAATATTATTAAAGCAATTTTAAAAAATAATAATTTCGTCCTTGTCCTCAATCCAGATAATAATTGTAGTGCCGATATTTATCACATCATACTTATATCTCCGCTGTTTGATCAACTGCTCTCCATTCTCCGAAAACAAGCACAGGGGCACTGTCTTCCTCATCACTGATGTATATACTTCAGACGATCACAGACTACAATCATTTTTGCAATTCCTTAAATCTATTCATCTGCTGTAAACTTCATCCTATCTCTCACTTTACAATATGCGAGCTATAAGCAAAATATTGCAGAGAGCTGAAAAAATGCCAGTCGGTAAGCATCATCACTTCTTTCGTCATGTTGTGATGTTTGTAAGCAATAAATGAGCAGGACTGTGTGTGTTTGTGTATTGCGCATGTAAATACATGTATATATCATGTAATATTTATAGGAAAACTGCTCAGGTTTGTTTGAACCAAACTTTGTGTGGTAAATTTTATTTTCAGTATATTTTATTAATTGTAATTACCAATATTTTCTAACTCGCCTAGTCAACGAACTCTTGTTGCGGCTTTATACTTTTGTTATATTGTTCAAATTACTTTCTCCTCTGCTTTTCTGGGATTTAATTTGTGGAGGTACCCCCCATTGACTTGTAGAAGCGAAATGGTTGGCTCTTTTCAAATGTGGGGTGTCCTTTTGGGGGATATTTCCGTATCGTGTTCTGTCGCGCCAACTACAATCGCCGAGGTGCATAATAGATTTTTAAACTTGCAAATTTTTTTAAAAAAAGTACGTAGATGTTTGCCCGGGGTAGCTATGAGTTAAACCTTTCGAGTTGTTTTTTTTAGTCACTGCACGGAAGTATCCATGACTTGGCGATTATTCTGCCGCGGATCATGATACGGAAATCTTCCCATAGCATCTAGGCAATGACAAATTATGAAACAAAACAATACAATTGCAGTACAATATGCATAAAATTATGAGTTAACAGGCGTTTGATTGTACAAACCCGGGCCTCACCTGCAAAATATTTTAATCCATCAAGCAGCCTTTTGACCCTTTGGGGATATTTCTGTATCATGATCTGTCTTTCCAACTGCACTCGCCAAAGTGCCAAATAGATTTTGAACTTGCAAAATTTTTTAAAATAAATGTGTAGATGTTTCCCCGGGTTTGCCATTGCTATGAGATATTCCTTTCGAGTTTGTCCTTTCTGTGATGTTTTTTTGTAGTTTCTTGTGGGCTACAGCCCGGAAGTTGCCAAGACTTGGCGAATATTCTGCCACAGATCAGAATACAGACCCTCCTCTCTAAATATGGAAGAAGTAAAAAATGCTTATACGCCAAATGATATTTCAACGTTCTCAGTGATGAATTTTATGAAAAGTAAACATATTCAATATTGCTGTAAAATGTGCATTAAATTCTGGGTTAACAAATTTTTGATTGTAAATCCTAGCCCCACCTTCAAAATGTTTGAAACCAAGGGGCCTTTAAAAATTTTCTCCCTCTGTCCTAAATTTGTAAGAAAGAAACACTTCTAATCAAAATGATACTTCACCTTTGCAATAATGAATTATGAAACAATAGCATAGATACTAAATAATGTGCATTATATTCTGAATTAACAAGCTTTTGGTTGCACAAGCTGGAGGAACTTGCAAAATGTCTTAAACCAAGGGGTTTGAAACCAATCTTAAAAGTCAGCCCTTACCCTAAAACCGAAAGAAGGCAAAAGAAATATAATAATAATAATACTTCTATGCAAAATGATACTTAAATTTCGCAATGATTAATAATGTAACAACAGCATGCATACTATTGCAAAAATAATATTTATTTCTGTTTAAAATTTTAATGGTGATTATTAATTTCTATTTTTTATTTTAATATTAAATCGATAAACAAAAGTTGTAAATATTTTATAATATAAATATTTTATAATACAATAAATATTTTATAACCGTTGTTGAACAGCCCACCCAATCTTTGGGTTTACGACTACTTATGTTCAACTCCGTAGCCTTGTCATTTTGAACCCAATCCAGAAAACAACGAAACTCCTGGATCAAGTATTGGGATAAATGTGCCTTGGTGGAGGACTTTTTGATAGAACTAACCCGCATTTGCGTTACATTGAGAGGAAGACCAAGAAACCCTCCCCGGGCTAGCCTAACGGCAAGGGGACTTTGACCCATGATCCTTCTACCACTGAGAATATTTTACGCCAGCACTGTGGTTGTTTCACCTCATTGGAAGGCAGATGCTCTATCCCCTGAGCCACCACAACTCTATCAAAGCTATTTAAAAAAGTTCAAAAATGTCACAAAATACCCACTATCCCCCCAAAAATTTTTAATTTTGATGAATTTTTTTGTATTTCATAATAAATGTGTTAGAGGATAAAATTTTGTAAAAATGCTTAATGACCTGGTGAAATAATTTGCTGAATAGTGAAAATCTTTGGTAGGTCACAGCGAGCTGTATTCTTGCTGGAAAAGAAATTATTTTTTCTTTTGACATTGTTTTGCTTGAAATTACTTAAGTGTATACAAAATTTCTGGCATGGCATTCTTAGTTTTTCATTCAGAAACGCTATTAAGTGATCAAAGATGTATTACATATGATATTTATTCTACTTTCATGCTGCCAACTGTACTGGATTTTGTCAGTTTTGACTGGTTGAATAAAAAATTTTCCTAGTTTTTATAAATTTCAGAAAATTCTTTAAAAATCCCTATTGAAATTGAATTTTTGTGCAGGTTATTGTTTGCTTGAATATTTAGATCCGTGTCACTCTAATATATAATGAACCAAGCCTCATTTATAAAATTGACTATGATTATGTCTATTATTATGAATTAAATGCCTATTACTTTTAAATTTTTAATTATGAATATGAATATTTAAAATTATGAATAAACATAATATTTCAAGTTCATTTAACGTGCAATCATAACTGGAAAATAATGCAGTTTTTCTATTTTAACGACTATGAAAATCCCTAAAATTCCCTATACACTAAATATTTAGTATATTTTGCAATAATTATCCTAAAATTTATGTTATTTCATAAAATCTACTGGATTTTTTCCTGGATCTCTGTTGGCAGCTATATACTTTTTTAGATTGTTATTGGGTTAGTTCTACGTGATTATTTAATTTATGTTTTTTTTTCTTTTTTTTCCTTTGCTAGGTTGCCTTCAAAAATTGTGGTACAGTACGAATAAGTCAACAGAAGATATTTCTATACCTTATTGGTTGGTACAATATTTATAATTCAATACTCAATTGTTCATACTTAAGTGTGAAAGAAATTATTATTATTTATCTGCAATTTTATCAATTTGTGTTTCTTTGTTTGAAAGTTGAAGATTAGAGACCAGAAACAAGACAATTAGTAATAATTTCGAATACAAAATTTTAGATTCCTTTTCTTCCTTGTATGTTTTTTACAATATGCTTAAAGGGTGAATTATATCTTACTGCTCTGTATTGTTACCCAGTGGAAAAAAGATATATCCATCGGCAAATTAAAATTATTGATATTGGCGGGAATTATTCAAGTGAGATTACATTTCTGCTTTTAAAACTGCTTACAAACTTTAATTTTGTAACAAAATTTCCATAAAATGTCAAAACAGAAAGCCAAAACAAAAGGTCGTACTTATGAAAAGAATCATTTTTGTATTATATGTAATAAGGTTTATTCCCGCAAATTTCAATTAAATGATCATTACCGTACACATACTGGGGAAAAGCCTTATTCTTGTAGCGTATGCAATAAAAGTTATTCTTATAAATGGTTATTAGATAAACACAGCTTAGTTCATACTGGTGAGAAACCTTTTCCTTGTGGTGCATGTTCTAAAAGTTTCAAAACAAAATTTGAATTAACACATCATATGACTGTTCATCTTAATGACAGTGACAAACCGTATTCTTGTAATGTATGTGATAAAAGATTTTTATCAACGACTCAACTAATGCAACATACAAAGACTCATTCCAGTGAGAAACCGTTTTCTTGCAGTGAATGCAGTAAGAGCTTTTCAACAAAGTTTAAATTATCTGACCATTTCAGGACTCATACGGGTGAGAAACCTCATTCTTGCGATGTATGCGGTAAGAAATTTTCAGCGAAAAGTGATTTGACAAAACATAAATTTACTCATGAAAAATCTTTTTCTTGTAATGTTTGTGATAAGGTTTTTTCTCGGAAGTATCAGTTAGCTGAACATCACTACATTCATGCTGGCGTAGAACCTTATTCTTGTCCTGTATGTGATAAGGCTTTTTATAGGAAACATCAGTTATCTAAACATAAATCTATCCATAAGAAAACTGATGAGCTCAATTCTTGCACTGATTGAAACAGCCATATTGTGGAAAGGCATAAAAAAGAAATTGTCTTCAGTATCATCTTTACGCATGTGCACACCCTGACAGTGCCCCGGGGGCCCTTGATAATCTTACTTTTTATAAATTGTATTTAAAAAAATCTAAGAATCAGCAACATTGACTTATATATTGTTTAAAATAAATATATTCTTTTGTATAAAGTGTGTATTTTGTTTTTTTTTTCTCTACAAATAGTGATTGATTATCATTCAAACACCAATAATTTGAATAGTTTATCACCAAGAAAACTATTTTTCTGTGTTCCAATGAAAATTTTAGGTACTTGGGCCAAGGTTGGCAAGGTTTAGGACAGAATGGATTAATCCACAGTTTAAACCGTTCTGTCCAAAACTGTCTTAAACTGTCCAAANTTTCAAAAGAGTACTTAATTTTTCCAGAAAAAAGTCCTTTAAAGTGCTTAATTTTTGCTTTGTTAAAAGAGTGGAAACCCTGTTATGTCATTAATGCTAATGTTCGGCAACTGATTTTCAGTTAAATATTTTAACCTAAAGCAAATACTACTTTTGACCCTACTTATTGCATTAATTAATTTTAATCTAAATAAAAAAAAATAAAAAAAAATACTGACTTACAGAGTTTTAAAAAATAATAAATTTAGAGTTTTCATTTATGAATGCTTTTAAATCATAACTTCTTATTTCAATAAAAAATAAACTACAAATATAGAAGAATATCAAATTTGTTGGAGTTAATAACCTAGTATTAAGATTAAATACGTATGCGTAACAGTACATTTAATTAATGGGTGTAAAGAAAACATTTGTAGGAAATTAAAAAATTAATAACTAAAAAATTATGCAAACAGTTTCTCTTAACTGCTTTTATTATTTTACTTTCAGTATTTTAATTTTTAAAAAATTTTTTCCCTCATTGTTACTTCCCGCATAGACTATTTCATAAAATAAAGTGTTTCAAGAACATGTCCAATTGCCTAAGGGCTTCAAATTAAAAAAAAAAGGTGATTTGTTTTGTTACTTAATTATTATAAGCATAATTTTGAAATGCTTTTGCGTAAGACATTCCATAGCGGCTTGTCTACACCAAAAAATGTCCATGAGAATCCCCGTACATCTTGTTTTATGAAACATGAACTGAATAGATTCTCCTTCTCAAAGATAAGCATTCTTTTTTTTTTCAATTTTGTGTCATGAAAATGTTCGCCAACATTCATAATTGCATTCAATTATTTGATTCCAAATTTATTTTCTCTAATTACTTGCTTTCATGAATGTTGCCTATTCTTATTGAATTTTTAAAAAATAAGTTTATGAAGTACTTTTTATTACTTTTGATGCTCATTTAATGTTTTTAAATGTATTTCAACCATTTAAATTATTTTAAAACGATTTCAATTTTATTGATAGGAAAATCAACCACTGATTTATTCGAAACAAAATAATGATTTAATTTGGGTTTTTATTGCCGGAATAATGAATGTTCCATAAAAACATCCTCGTGTTAAAAAGTAAACTTAATTTAGCGAAGTTATTATATTTTAAAAATGCTATAAATTTTTAAATTCGGTAAGAAAAAAAAACGTATAAAAATATTCATTAACTCCACAATTAAACTTATGTTGCGTTTCAAATGTTTGATTTATATCAAGTAAAGCAAAAACTTTTCAAATAAATGTGCTTTTTACCAACAAAAAAATCTGTACTTATTAAATTTGTTTAAAATAATTTTTAAGTGACTTTTCTTAAATTAGGTTAAAATTATGCAAGGTTGTACTAAAAGTAATATTAATAAGAGAGCGTCAAAGATGCAAAGACTTGAAAAGATTAATTTCGAGGGAGAGGTAACAAGTACCACATCACGCATTTTAGTTCATATATATTCTAGTGCTTATATTTTTAAAGGGTTAAAATAAAGATTCCAGTTACCTCTTTTATTTACCAGTTTAATATTTACAAGAAAAAGCGCAATTAAAATAATCTGAATTAAAGCAATATTGTACAAACTATTTTATGCTCTAATTATATTATAACACTTTGTTATTTAAAGGTAAAATGTAATGTGATCTACAAATAAGTTTCTGTATTTCGGGTATATGCTTATCTAATGTAGTTTTACTTATGATAATGGCTTTTGCGCTTAGCAAAAAAGCGAGATCAAAGTTGTTGAAAAATGTGACTTCAATCATGGGCTACCGTTTTATTGCTCAAAGCAATAAGACATGGCAAATGTCAAATATGATTAATTTTTTTTGAAATTTCTAAAAACTGTCATTGCCAGATTCAGTATACCAGATGTACATAGATTTTACAGTTTGAGAGAACAAAATTGCACTTACAGTTTTATTAGTTGTCAAAACCAGTTGCATGTTTGTTTAACAGAAAGGCATTTATTCATATAGATCAGAAGAATTAATATAGAAAGCGGTCCAACTAAGCAACACAAACTGTCTTATTTAAGTTCTATAAACATGTTTGATGTTGCATAAATACATAGTTTAAACTGCTTTCAAACTAATTTTATAAAAAGGTAGTAGCAAAACATTTTTAGAACTTCTAAGAGCCGCGAGTGTTCCTAAAACATACTTTCCACTGCCTTACAAGTATTCCTTGATGCAGAAATTAACATTGAATGTGGCTTAAATTTATAGTTCACTTTTTTTTTAGTTTAGGAGTTCAAATTGTGCTACTAGTGTTGATCCATCTAGTTTAAATTTTCCAACTTTTTACATTTTTTCAGATTAAAATTTAGCAATTTCAAAACACAATTTTAGTTATTATTTCAGTAAATTATCGAATTTTAACTATACTATTTGAGCTGCATCTAACAAAGTAGTGAGTAATAACATTTGCATATAACAATGAATGTTGATATTTACTTTCATGTATTTAATGCATATTAAAGATATTCAAAGCTGTACACTAAACTCTTATAGCTAGCTACGTGAAGCTTAAACTCAATAAAATTGTTATGTTTAGTTTGTAAAGGGAAATTTTTCGATAAAGGAAAACACTTTTAAATGTGCAAATTAAAGAATTAGAAAGGTAAAAATTGTGAATTGAAAGTTTCTAATTGCTTTAAATTTCGCAGATTTCTTTAAGTAAATTAGAAATTTGACTTTTCCCTCTAAAAAATTACTTTTTGATTACTAAATTGTAATTTTGAAAGGACATACTATTTGAAACGACACCATGGAAGTAAGATTTCTGAATGTTTTAAGAAAGACCATTAAATACACATTAATACATACAAGACTAATTTATTAGTTCCTCATCTTAAATGTACATCAAAACTAAGAAAAAATAGTCACAAATTATAACAGAAATAAACCGCTCACAAATTCCAGCATACACTAAGTACAAGTTCTAATATACAAGACTACCAATGCTAAAAAAATTCTGTTGCCAAGCAGAGGTAAAACAAAATCACACATAAATTCACAACAAAAAAAAAAACAAGATGTTGAAAATACAATTTGAGTTGGAAACTTATTTACTTTGGATTATGCAACTTAATCCCTTATCTCTATTGAATATCCTCATTTTTGTTCTTTTATCTTTCTCTATAGCAGGAAAGAACATCAATAGAAATTTATAAATTTCAGACTGTTTAAAAAAAAAAGGTAAATTTGAAAAATTACAATTACGCTGAATCCGTGAGATCAAATGCATGCCTTTTCTTATAAAAAAAAGTATTTAAGAAAATCTGTAGAAACATTACTAATACCCTATAATCTGTTACACATTCAATATGTTAAGTGCAGTGAAGAATTCAAACAACATATGTAAAATCAATGATCTGAATCGGATAAATTTACTTCATATTCTGTTTTTTAAAAATTCCTTTCTTATTTAAAAAAGTAANTAACACCCTATAATCTGTTACACATTCAATATGTAAAGTGTCTCAATTGAAGAATTCAAACAACATATGTAAAATCAATGATCTGAATCTGATAAATTTACTTCATATTCTGTTTTTTAAAAATTCTTTTCTTATTTAAAAAAGTAACTTACATTATATTAAAAGGATCATTCAAGATTTTTTTTTTAAATTTTAGATTTAGAATACATTTTATTCTTATTTTATGCCACAGTTGAGATAAAACTTTCCCGCAATTCTAGCTGTTAAGGCTCAGTTTTAATAAAAGTTAATTGAAAGCTCTTATTTAAAGTGACAGTTTGATTTGACAGTTTTGTTTTGAGAAACACCATTAAATACACATCAATACATACAAGACTAATTTATTGTTTCCTCATTTTAAAAATGCATATCAAAACTGAGAAATTGGCACAAATTATAACATCGAAATAAACAGCTCACAAATTCCGTCATACATACAGTACAAGTTCTAATATACAGGACTGCAAATGAAAAAATTTCTATTGCCAAAAAGAGTTCAAACGAAAATTCACATGTAAATGTTAAATTTAATTATACATGCAATTTTGATGAAATTTAGCACTACTACATATAAATGATGATTTATCAAAAACTTTGCAGTTTACAGGAACTAAAATTTAAAGTTCGATCAAAAACCAGAATTAGGGGAACAGAAAAGTTCTATTTAATTTGTTTTCCTACTTTTTCGAATCAAACATTAGTAAAAATAAATTGCAAGGTTTCCATCTATTAAAACAAAATGATTTTTATTGATTAAATTTATTAATTTAATTCAGTGAAAAGTGATATTTCGATTACTTTCTAACAAAAAATTTAAAATAAACTCACTTCTTAATTTATTAATTTCAGTTATTAATTTCATTTTATAAAATTTTCGGGGTTTTAATTATCAATGTTAAACTTTGTAGCTTCGTAATTTGAAATTATTCCCAAAAGACAAACGTTTATCAAGCACTGAAATAGTCTTGGGTGATAACTAACCGAACTTTTGAAGAACTAACCGAATTTTTGTTAAGTTTTAACGTTACAGGAAAGTTATCCGCATATGCAAATCGACCAAAAAGCAACGAAAATCTCCAATAGGTAGTCTGAGAAGGGGATTCAAACCCATGATCCCTTTTATCACTGAGTATATTTTACGTTAAAACTGGAGTCTGGGAGAGCCGCAAGCCTAATTCAAATCGACCAGGTCATCATCTCTAGGATTTGAATTAGAGTCACCTAAATAAGAGGCAAGCGCTCTATCCCTTGAACATTTGCTTTCATACTTCAACGAAATAT